AAGTAAATCAATCAATGGGAATAAAAACTAATGCGGAAAAATTAAATCAAAAGCAACACAAGAATTTTTACGTGGTTCCCTCAATATGAGGTACGTCCACGGGATCGAAATCCGATTCCACTATCAACCAAAGAGTTTCCAAACAATTACAAACGAGACACTAATGGTCTCACAAAACCACCCTTAGGTGAATTCCAAATAATCACAAATAAACAAGAGGAAAGACCTCACCAAATAGATGAACCAAAATCTTCAGAACCAAAATTAAAGAAGACCTAAGTGTTAGATTTTTTGTTTAGTTCTTTGGGACTTTATTGTTATTCTTTTCATATATGTTATTTTTTATCTTAATATGATTGCGTTTAAGTTTTCTTTTTCTTTTTCTTTTTTTAAATGTACCACCCATTTGTGATTAGAGATGGTTTGTTTTTAAAAATATGTTTATATTTTTTTTTTAAAAATAAATATAACAAAATTAAAAATATTATAATTATTAAATAGATTTAATATTTTTCATAAATAATATATATGAAAGAATTTATAAAATAAACCATTAAAATCATCGAAACCAAACTTAACGCATCACATTTTAAATTTGAGAGAAGTTAAAAAGCAGTGGATGATATGAAAGTAAAGCACTGCCAGGTAAGGGTAGGCATCGGCGCGTTGGTCCACTTAGTCCACTGAGCCCAGCTTTATTTTTGTAGTGTTTGGTAATATTATTTTAGTCCATAAAGCTGGGCTAGGTTGATTTTTTTAACTTGATTAATTAATGGTTTGGATTTGGAAAATCTCAGTCTGGCCTTGCCTAACCCGACCCGGCCCACACATATTTAATTTATTTAATATATTAAAAATATATATCATTTTGTTGGAATTTGAACAGATATATATTAACTTTAATAACACACACAATATATATATATATATATATATTACACTAACTGTCAGGTAATACATTTTGTTCTTTTACTTCGTGGATCCTTTTGCAATGCAAAACTCTTTAACTTTGTGAACTTTATTTTTCGTTTTTCTATTTCAAGAAAAATAAGTCTACAAAGTGAGTTTGTATATCATTTTCCTTCTACAAATGTTATTGTTGAACTTTGTTTGGTTTAAAAAACTTTGTAATGTTTTAATTAATATGGCATTGAATCTTTATAATAGCTAGTTGCTTTATAAGCCTTTGTTTGTTTATAAAAAATTATTTAGTTTTTTTTTTAATAGCTTATGTATATGGTCCGATAGACATGTTTGAGAATTGAAATTTATTTAGGATTGGGCTTGCGATGATTATATAGGCCCAATGTTTGGGCCGAGCAAAATTAAATAAACACAAAATCCTTTATTAAGTAGTGTTAGGCCAGCCCAACCCAGTAAATGACCACCATTACTGGCTGCCATTGATTGTCATTTTATTGCTATTTGAAAATACATAGGAAAATTTATAATTCAGTGATCTCTTCCTAAAATATTTACAGATTTATAAAAAAAAATGATTTTAATTATGAAATTAATAAAGTATACCATTGGTTTGAATTTTTTTTTTTTTACAAACTTCTATTGAATTTCAATTTCTCCAAATTCACAATACATGTCAAATTGGGCCTCCCATGAACAATATAGGTTTGCTAATCAATCCTACACTGTCCCTCCATAACTCTTAGGTCATGTTTGATTGGGATTTTAGGATGAGGATTGGATTATCAATTTGTGAGACTCATGGAACCCATGTTTGTGTAAAATAAAATGAAATGGATTTATCAATCTCATAAGAGTATGAATCACTTCTCAAGGCGGGACTAACATTCTCATAGAAGGGTTCAGATTGTTATTCTCCTCACACAAGTTGATAGTTAAAATATCCATATTGCTTGTCCTCTACTTTACAAAATCAACAAAATTATATTATATGTGAGGATTTTTAGGTAATTTTATATATTTAATTTTAACTAACTAATACAATTGCATTAGTTTACAAACAAACACATTTTATTTTACATCTCTAACCTAATATAACTACACTAATAATCTCATCAATCAATCTCACCGTACTAATAATCCCATCCAACCTAATTCGTCAAACAAACAAGGCTTAAGGTTTTTATTTTGTGTGTTTCGTAAGGCACTACAACAGTTATCTGAACTTTTATTTCGTAAACCTCAAAGGAAAGAAGATATATGAAAAAGATTAGTTTAACTAGATATCCATAAACATATTAATTTATTGTATTTCATTTTATAAAATAAATAGTTTTAGTTTAAATTAAATTTATCATCAAATTTATAAAACTAAACATAATTAATTAGTGTGTTTATCAATTTTCGATCAAGTTAATTTTTTATGTATATATTTTTCTTTTCAAGGTCTATGAGATGAAAAGTTCAGATCATTGTTGCGAAAGCCCCACAGGACCTACAAAAACAAGCCTTGCGGGTTATGGAGAAAAAAGAATCTTAAAGGGAACTATTTATAGTCATTAGGAATAGTTTGATTAGTCAAAATTTCAACATCTCACTAAAAATTACCAGTTGAAATCTCCCCACTTATTTATGAAATTTAGATTAGATTTCATCAGAAAAAAATAAAATTTCTTATCTTTCCTCAATACAATAAAATTGTTAATTAACTTAATAAATAATTAAGGAAATGATCATTTGTTACACGATTAAAAATTTTAAAACCACATGGGGCCATTTATATTTTGAGCAAATCTTAGTGTGAACAGTTTCATGTAACTCATTTATTTTAAAACAAAACACCTTCAAAGATAATATTTATTTAATTATATTTTTAGCTCATAAAACATGAGTTCTGTATCATTTTAATTTTTAATTTTTAATATTTTTTTTGTGTCAAAGATAACGTATTAGCATAATTAGATTACAATTGAATAGAGTTTTATACATTCGAACCCTTAAATGCTCACTCACCCCATCTTATGATCCGGCTATTAGGCCACACCCCAAAGGTTTTTTACTTTCAATATTTAAACTGTGTTAAAAATATTATAATTTAATTCTCAACAGTTAAATTGCGTGAATTTAATGTTTAATATATATAAATTATTTCAATTTAATCTCTTATTTTAAAAATGTTAATTGACGCACTATAAATATTGAGAATCTTTCCTGACTCTATAGGCCCATGTATGTGTCCTTTGCATACAATAATTGTCCATAAACTTTTGTAGCCACAAACTATTTTTCCTTTCTTTTAACTTTTCTTTTCATATGGGTGCACCCCCAACATTTTTGTGATGCAATAAATTAATAAATTTTATAAATCTTTTTACTTGCATGAAGTATTCTTATTAAATTCCATTTTAAGTACGCATTTATGTGCCACACCAATAAATAAAATATAAGATAAATATATTTAGAGAAAATATCATTTTGTTCACTAAGTTATTACTCAATAATCAATTCAACCCTTTTTTAATAATACCAATTTTATATCTAAATTATTTGATTTTGCATCAATTTTACCCCACCGTCAATTGTCGTTAGTGATCAAACGGAAGTTGCTGATGTGACACCTAAACTTCATTTGAAATTTTGTTTTACCCCCAAACTATTCCCACAATGTCAATTAGACCCTTAAATAAAATGAAGTTCGGGGGTGTAATTGATAATCTAGAGATAGTTTGGGGTAAAATAAAATTTCAAACAAATATTTAGTGTCACGTTAGCACTTCTGTTTGATTATAAATGGTAGCTAACGATAGAGGTAAAATTGATTCAAAATCAAATTGTTTAGGTGTAAAATTGATATTTTTAAAAGAATAGGGGTTAAATTAATTTTTAAAATGATACTTGAGGCAGTAAAATGATATTTCCTTATATATTTATCATTCTTGAAGCACGAGATTTATGTTACTTTAGTTCTTTAAATTTTAATTTTTTCAATTTTGTCTTTGAATTTTTTAATTTGAATAAAATAGGTCCAATTTCAAACTATCACTTAAATAGTTATCAAAACAATTATAAATTTCAACTATGATTTCAAATTATATGTTTTGTGTAATATTAATTCCGTCTATCAATATTATAAAATTATATTTTATTTTCGTCATTAATATTTCAAGATGAAATTGTCAAAATTAATAACTTTAAAAACCAAAGTACATTTTATTATCATTTTATTAACTTTAGACGAAATTGGATCCAAGTAACTCAAAGTAAAAAAAAAAAAATTAAATACAAAATTAACAAAATTAAAACTTTAAAGTATTATAAATACATATTTAAAAAGATATAGAAATGTTATTAATTTATATCACATTTGTTCTTTTCCTTTTTCATGGCCCACTGAAGTGACAAAAAAAGCCTTATCATCAAACTTTTTCTTGGTTTCACAATGACCATTTACTTCTCTTTATTGACCACACTCACATGTTGTCACAGTGTCATTCGGGAAACTTTGTGCGGTCAAGGATATCGACGCTGGGATTGGATCACATCGGCAATGACAAAGATGCCCTTCAACAAGTTCTTTAGGTCATGTTTGATTCACAAAATTAATAATGAAAGATTAATAATTCTATTAAATTAGTGTAGTATTCACTATCCAATTGAAATAATATCTATTGGATTAATAATCCCACCTCTATCCCATTACTAATAATCTTACAAATTTATTAGATTAATTATTTATTGAATTAATAATCCTAAACCAGATTAATTATTTATTGAATTAATAATCCTAAACCAAAATGTTAAAACAAACATAGGATAATTAGGTCCACGGATTAATAATTCCAATCTCATACTCTAATCCATCCAATCAAACATGCCCTTAAAGTCCCTTGCTATTGTTTAAAAGAAACCATCCGTAAGGTATTGGCTTAAAACTTAAATTAAATCTCTCTTCTTTTTCAATCAAAGAAGTTCTTTGTTGTTCGAAGTAATTAAGCCCCTTACATTTTCCACCTTCTTGAGATCAAACCACCCAAATTCAATACGTATACAGAGTGTACAAAAGAACATAATTGCCAAGGATGGTTGATGCTGTTGTCTCTTCCGAAGTACGGAGACTTGGTGGTCTTCTCATTGATCAAGTAATTTTTTTGCAAAGAGTGAGAGATGAAGTCAACTATCTGAGAACCAAATTGGAATACATGTGTTTCTTGAAAGATGCAGAAGAAAAACAAGATCAAGACAGTAGGATACGCAAATGGGTATCCGATATTAGAGATGCTGCTTACGAAGCCGAGGATATTATGTTAGATAATGTCTCAATGGGACCACATAATTAAATGTGGTGTTATCATTTATAAGAAGCTTACAATTTAAGTGATTCAATTTAGTTAATAGGCTTAAGGGTATATGTGTTATGGACCTAATGTGTAGATACTAGTTGTATAATTTCTATTTCTATGAGGGGCAGAAATAGAAATTAAAACATTTTGGTTAAAGTTGGTTTTCATGCCTTTTGAACTTCCACAACTTTTCAGTTTTGAAAACCAATAAATAGTAATTAAAACCAATAATGGTTAAAGTTGGTTTTCATGCCTTTTGAACTTCCACAATCTTTCAGTTTTGAAACCCAATTACAACCTTTAAAAGGTTATGGTCCCTATTCCTTCCCAAGTGAAGAAAGGTCTGTTTTCTAAATCCTCTCAAGGAAAAACATAAGGCACCAAAGGGGAAAGGATTAGAAGGCAATAACATAATCAATAACAAAGAGTTCATTGATAATCACGCTTCCGTTTAACCGTTTATCAATGGATTCAGGTATGTCATTTTGTCTTGATTTCTTGATAATACACATGGTAAATGATCCAAAATGTAAGGTTTATGTTCTGAAATTTATGTTTAACATATTATTGACAAGTTTATTCTCAAAGTTGAAGAATGAGGGATTCCCAAAAGGACAGGGTTCAAAGCTTGCCTCAGAAAGCACTTTTGCATCTACAAACAAGCAAACAAGTATGGGATAGGTAAGGAGATTCAAGAATGGAAGAATAGACTCGATGAAATCGATCGAAATCATGAAATTTTCAAGATTAGAAATATCGAAGCTGTTGGGGAGGGATCAAGTAGCATGAATGAGAGATTCAAGCAACTACGAAGGACAACACCTTATGAAGACGACCAACATGTTGTGGGCTTCACGAAGGATGTTGAGTTACTAACATCTAAACTTCTCCAAGAAACGCCCCATCAATGTGTGATTTCGATTGTGGGCATGGGCGGTTTGGGTAAGACGACCTTAGCTCGAAAACTTTACAACTCTAGCAGTGTTGGAGATAAATTTAAGCGTAAAGGTTGGGTTTCTGTATCCAAGGATTACAACATCCAGAATCTTCTTCGAAAAACAATAAAATCTTTCAAGATGCCAACCAGCAAAGATGAATTGGAGATGTTGGAAAAGATGGAAATAGAAGATTTGGAGTGCCGTTTACATGAGTTGTTGAAAGAAAGTCGATACCTGGTGGTGATTGACGATGTATGGGATACAGATGCTTGGGCAAGCTTGAGGTGAGCCCTCCCAGACAACAAGAAAGGAAGTACAGTAATTATCACCACTCGTATCAAACTTGTTGCCGAGAGTTCTGGTAGGAGAAAATATGTTCATGAGCTTCCATTTCTACAACCAGAAGAAAGTTGGGAATTATTTTGTAAGATAGTAGTGTTTCCGGACTATAATGGGGTCGATGATAAAACAAATCGTTGCCCTCCAAGCTTGGAGGAATTGGCAAGAGATTTGGTCAGAAAATGCCAGGGCTTACCCCTGGCCATAGTCGTCTTGGGTGGGCTATTGTCAAGAAAACATCTCAATGAGTGGCCCAAGTTGCAGGGCCGCTTCTGGAGGCATGTAAGCGGTGACGACTTTGAAAGCCATGACTCGGCTCATGTTAAACAAATATTGGCTTTAAGTTTCACCGATTTGCCTCATCACTTGAAGTTGTGCTTTCTTTACTTGGGGTTGTTCCCTGAAGATTTTGAAATTGAAGCAGACAGACTTACACGGTTATGGGTGGCAGAAGGTTTCATACAACAAGCACAAGGAGAAACTTTAGAGGAGACAGCTGCAGAATATCTAAATGAGCTGATTGATAGAAATTTGATTCAAGTAGCTAAAAGAACCTGGATGAGAATTAGAAGAAGCCGAGTTCATGATCTTCTTCGGGATTTAGCAATTGAAAAGTCTAAGGAGTTAAATTTCCTTCATATCTATGATGGAAATGTTTATTCCGCACCTTCTCCCTGCAAGCATCGAAGACTAGCTTCTCATAGCTATGGATTAAAAAGGTTTGCTTCCTTTGATCAGTCATCAAATTTGCATTTACGAACTCTTTTGTTCTTCAACTCGGAAAATGAATCTGCCGAAATAGGGGAGTTACAATTTCTGTACGAAAAATTGAGATTGTGGAGAGTGTTAGATCTTGAGGAAATTATATTCAATCATTCCCCAGAAACAGAGCATGGAAGCTTGGTTGATGCAATTGATAAATTGATTCACTTGAGGTACTTCAGGATAAGTGGCTTCAAAATGAACAAGATTCCACCATCCATAGGTAACTTGCAAACCCTACAAACCCTCGAATGTTCCGAATTTCGTACCTCAACTATGTTACCAGATGAGATATGCAATGCAAAGCAGTTGAGACATTTAAGTGGATGCTTCAAGTGGCCTTTCCGAGTGGAAAACCTAACAAACCTTCAAACTCTAAACTATATTGAGGTTGATGACCGGATGGAATTTAATCCATCAAGGGATTTAATCAATCTTCGTGAGCTTGTGGTAATATTTAATGGAAAAAGCAAGGGGTTCACTCTAGACTCTATTGGTAGATTAAGAAACCTTCAAACATTATATCTAGAGTTTAGGGACACTGTTTGGAATCCTACACTGCAACCACTTCTCACTGCCAGCACCTCCTTCAATTGAAGTTAGATGGAAGAATAGGAAAGCTACCAACAAAGATGCACGAATTCTTACCGAATCTCAAATACCTCTCCTTGGTTGGATGGAAAATGGAGGAAGATCCTATGCCGTTATTAGAGAAACTTCCAAAGTTGACAATTCTTGACTTGAATGGATTTTGGGGAAATAAATTTGCGTGCACTGCAGGAGGCTTTGCTCAACTCGAAATTCTAACTGTTTTCGGGGGTGATATGAAGGAGTTACAAGTGGATGAAGGAGGAATGCCTCTGCTTCGGGGTTTGTTCATCCCTATCAATCTTAGCATCCCAGAGAGATTAAGGTCCATCCCTATCCCCAAAAATTGGGGTTTGGTACGCGTTGATGAGTGGCCTTACTAACAAAGAAAACAAGTTACTGGTGAGTAATAGTTGTTGCCAGAAAATATATTGTAAATAAAAGGTTTCCTTTCTTATAGATCACTTTTCTATACGTGCTGGTTTAACTTAATAAAGCTTTTCAACTGGATAGGCTATAATAAAGTTTATTTGTTCCATGTATAATTAAATATATAGTGTGTATATATATATATATATGTGTGTGTGTGTGTGGGTGTGTGTGTGTGGGTGTGTGTGTTTGTGTGCGTTTTCTTAAGGGAATGGCTTCCCTTTGGTCATCGGACTGGAGGGTACTATTGAGCCCGTAAAGGTCTATCACGGGTCCCGTTTCGATAATCCAAATCGTTCAATATGTAAAATTCATTGAGCAATATATGCCTTTAAAAAAATCACGTTGATCGAATATCGATAGTTATGTGATCAAATCAGTTTTGTATGGAAAAAAATGGACAATGAAAAATAAATAGCTGACAAAAATCTGATTTGATCACATAGCTTTCGATATCCGATCAACTTGATTTTTTTACATATAAATATTACTCAACAAATTCTACACATTGAACGGCTCGGATTATCAAAACAGGACCCGTGGTAAATCCCCACGGACCCAACAATACCCTCCAGTGGAGGAAAGCCATTCCCTTTTCTTAACAATGTATGTTTGGTAAACTAGCTAGGTGAGTAGAGAAATAACAAGATTCACTCTGAATTTAATTTTTTGCAAAATTGAGTTTCTTTTGGTTTTTTTAGGGAATTTTTTTAATATTTTTATCAATTTTTTTTACTTTTTCGTATTCTTGTATATTTATTGATTTTTTAAAATATTTTATTTACAAATATTTTACTTTTAAGGTACATCTAGGTTAGGTACATGTAAAAAGTAAAAAAAAAAAAAAAATTTTATGTATATTATAAAATCATAACAAGTATTAAGTTATTTGTGCATTAAACTCATAAATTTTTTTAAAATTTTTTTTATAATTTTACACAACTTTTAAATTTACAAATAATACCCTATTTGGTTTGGAATTTTCAAAAATAGTTTTTTGAGTTTTTAATTCGTATTTTTATATTTTTAGATCCACTTAATCTTGATATACTTAAAAGGTATAAAATTTGTACAAAAATCTTTAAAAGATTTATTGAATACAACAAAATACAAAAATGTATTGAATTTTCTTATTTTTTATTTATTTTTTTTGGTGAATTTTTTTTTTAAAAAATTATATAAATATTATACTTTTTTAGTGTATCTAGATTAGGGATATCTAAATTTTTTTAAAAAACTATGTAAAATATTAAAAAATAAAAACTTAATTTTCTAAAAAGTGAGTTAAATCAAAAGTTTTATATAAGAGAAACAAAATGATTAAAAAAAAATGAGTATAATATATATGGACAAAAAATATTTATCCCGTGCATAGCACGGGTGAATGCTAGTATATATATATATGTGTGTGTGCGTGGGTGTGGGTGTGTGTGTGTGTGGGTGTGTGTGTTTGTGTGCGTTTTCTTAAGAGATTGGCTTCCCTCCGGTCATCGGACTGGAGGGTACTGTTGAGCTCGTGGGGTTCTATCACGGATTCCGTTTCGATAATCCAAATTGTTCAATATGTAAAACTCATTGAGCAATATATGCCTTTAAAAAATCACGTTGATCGGATATCGCTAGTTATGTGATCAAATCAGTTTTGTATGAAAAAAAATGGACAATGAAAAATAAACAGCTGACAAAAATCTGATTTGATCACATAGTTTTCGATATCCGATCAACTTGATTTTTTACATATATATATTACTCAACAAATTCTACACATTGAACGATTCGGATTATCAAAACGGAACCCGTGGTAAATCCCCACGGACCCAACAATACCCTCCAGTGGAGGAAAGCCATTCCCTTTTCTTAACAATGTATGTTTGGTAAACTAGCTAGGTGAGTAGAGAAATAACAAGATTCACACTATTTGGTTTTAATTTTTTGAATTTAATTTTTTTGCAAAATTGAGTTTCTTTTGGTTTTTTTAGGGAATTTTTTAATATGTTAATCAATTTTTTTTTTACTTTTTCATATTCTTGTATATTTATTGATTTTTTAAAATATTTTTTTTACAAATATTTTACTTTTAAGGTACATCTAGGTTAGGTACATGTAAAAAGTAAAAAAAAAATGCTTAAAATATTAAAAGCATGTATTGAATTTTCTTTTTCTTTTCTTTTCCTTTTTTTTAATTTTATATATTTGGAATTTAGTGAATTTTTTACAAATATTATACTCTTTATTTGTATTTATATTAAGTGTATCTAAAAATTAAAAAAATTGCTTAAAATATTAAACAAATTCACTAAAAACATGAAAAATAAAAATTCAAATTTCAAAAAATTGAATTTAGAAAATTGGAACTAAAAAAGGTGATTATGATTTCTCTTCTAGTACTTTGGTGAGAAAAGAAAAGAAAAGAAAAATTAAATAATTATGATTTCTCGTCATCGTGTTTAGATAAACCAAAATAAAAGAGAATACATGTGTATTGAGGGCCAAAAATTAGATTCACTTTTTAGCTCTCTCATTTATTCTTTAATTATCAACTAATTATCTTGTTGACACATTATTGGTCTAGAAAGTGGGTTTAGAAAGAGAAAACACGTCTTTTTATTATCAATACACGTCTTTGTATCTAGATAGACAGTTTAAGTATTTTGATTTTTTTTTTTATACAACTACTTTTGTTTTTCACCAAAATTGGTGAGAAACAAAACAAGAGTTTTAGGAGTTTTATTTTTATTTTTGTTTTTATTAAACTAATTCATATGTGGACTTGTTTTCAAAGAGCTTCTTTTCTTATTTGCCAAATGATGAATCCAAGCATTTAGTTCCTTGCTAGTTTAGCGAGTTAGACAAATGAAAAGGTTTCTCAAGAGAGATTATGATTCAATCATTCAATTATCTCAAAAATTATGCTCAGAAAATGGGATAATCTTGTTATAATATGAATTAGGTACGATTTAAATTAATATTGAAGAAATGTAAAAAGTAAGGCGGTAGTACTATATTTTAGATACATAGTTCCACCTTAACACATGTCCTACCTCAAGTGAGATAATCGATATATAGCAATTGACCCATCTCATGTGCGTCACTCGTGTGATAATTGATATTATTTTTGACATACATCTTTAAAAATTTTGTTTTCATTTTTTATTTTTTAACACATTTCTTACATCTTAGTTTTCTTTCTTTCTTTTTTTTCATTTTATTTATTTAACAGGAATGATAGTCGGAGGAAACAAATAAAGTGGTTGGTGATGCTTGTGTGCCTGTTGTGCTGTTGGAGACAAGAAGTTCTTTTTATTTGTTTATTTATTTTCCTTCTATTTGTTGTCATGTTGGTTGTATTTGGATTTCCAATGACTTCTCTTTTTATTATTTATGTATAAAAGACTATTGTCTGATTACATTCTACTATTGGCTATTACTTTTTTAATTGTGATGATATATATGGTTATGAACATCCATTCTATTGTCAAAATATATATTAACTATTTTAGTTGGCTTTTTAGTTGTTTGATTATTGTAACTTGTCTAAAAAAGTTATGTTTGAAATAATAGTTGATTTATTTTATTTTATTTTATTAAGTATTTGATTTAATGATTGTGAGAGAAAAAAATAAATAACTACAATTTGAATGTGACATTTTATCTTATTAACTATTTTAGCCTATTTTATCTTTATTAACTATTTTAACCAAAAAAATCCTCCCAACCCAGCTTCCCAAACACCCCTTATAGGGTGGTTAATAAGAAAGGCTATAAGGAGAGTCACTTGATGGTTGAGTTAAGCACTTCCACGAGCTCAAGGAGCACAAAGCCAAACAGAGCATGTTGCATAGAATTGGGTGGTTAATAAGAAATGCTATAAGGAGAGTCTAGTTGAACGGTTAAAACGTTGACATTTCAGTAGACTAAGGAAATATTGATCCAAAATCCACCACCACCACTACCAATAAGACCGCCATGGACACAAATGAAAGCCCTCTCTTTCATTACTGCTAAGTTTTGATGAAATTGAACTATAACCGATGATCAGAGTACTTAATTGTCAGTGAAGTGAGATGCACAATTCAAGTCAATATAATCAGAGTACTTAATTGTCAGTGAAGTGAGATGCACAATTCAAGTCAATATAATGGCGTCAAACCTACAATAGTAATCTAACTATATTAACTAGTATCATATCATGTGACACAAAATTTAAAAGAGAATTTCCCCTATTTTTCTCAATTATGGGGCTACATTTTGGACATTAAACTTGGTATTCACATCTCATTCATCTAATACTATGAAAATGCTTAGCCAAAAGATACACTAACATCACAATCTTATTTTTGATATTAAAAGTCAAACCAACTTTCATTATAGATATAACCAAATATTACTTGTTAACTGCCACGAAGGACAGTTTTAGCAAAAACATGAGCCAGCTCGACTACCGGCCAACTTACCTTACATATATTTACATAATTAAAACTGTTAAGTAAAGATCAAATCTCCAAAATTAGTGGTTGTGAGGCCCAATTGCATGATGATGTACCACGAAGTTGTTCGACCAACCATAAGCAATCTATGAA